ATCAAAAAGGAAAATAAATGTACTGAAAATACATAAACATAGTATAATATGTATAATGTATATTATGTACACTATGTATGATACTTTGAGTACTTCTGCACGCGTATTTCCGTTCGAATATACCAAATCTATACTTTATCCCGATATCTTGGTTTACATCTTTACATAACCATTAACCAGATTAAAAACTCATATTCATGATTATAATAACATAAAATCATTACTTCATTGGCGATATCACTCATGAAAAAGTTCACATATGATAGAAAAATAAAATAAAATTTAAATGTACATAGGTATATAACATAATATGTTTAGTTTGGATAACTCTGTAGGCATGTGGGTGACGGATCATGTATATGTACATTTTTTTCCGCAGGGGCTACCAGTTACTGAACTATAAGCCGATTGAAGCCCTTATATTTTTGTTTTATTTTACACTAAAATATTTTTAAATTTTTTATCAGTTTGTATAATGTTTATAATTTTATTATTCTTTTTTAACAAGCTACTGCATTTCATATATGTATTTTTTCTTCTAAATTTAGTGGTTTGGCTATTTTTAAAAACATGAACATGTTATAATTTAAAAAAAATTGTATTTAACTTTTCAAGATTAATGAAAATTAAAAAAACGTATAGCATTCACTATAATAATAAAATAATGATTTATTAATTTTAAATTATTTATCTGAAAATAAATACCAAAATTAGTTATTAATAAAGGGTTTTAGCTCCGTTATCCGTACGCTTGTTATTGTTGATTAATAATAATAAATAACATCATCACTCGTAAAAAATCAAAGTAAGAAAGGGTATTTTTTCGAAACCACCAAGTACCATCACCAAATCCAAACAAAATTTTTCTAATTCATTCATGTCACCTACCAATAATGATAATATATATATATATAGTTTTATAGTTATAACCCCCCTTTAAAAAAAAAAAAAAAAAAAAAATTAAATTAATTTGTTAATAAGTTTAATTAATTTAACGATCGATCAACACAGTGTCCAGCGATCCCCATTACTTTCAATTGATCGTCTAGTATACACTACGTATAAAACTAACTAGTAATTATTAGCATTAACATCGTTCCGGCTAACCTGAATTACATTAATAGTATGATACAGAATACAGATAATATAATAATAGGTAAAACCGATTAGTGGCTTTTATAATTGCAATATGGATATCTTAACAAACTAAACAAACTATAATCCCCATTGATTTTTACATTCTCTATTGCAATATTAACGTGGATATTAATAATGTTATGGATTAACTTGCTAAAAAATCAAAACGAAAAATGAATATACATTTATTGTTTTTTCAAACATTGATAAATATTTACATATTTTAACTTGTATAAACAGCATTATAAAATAATAATACAGAGTTTATTGATTAATATAAAAACACAAAAAATTCAAAAAAATGTAATGTTATATTTTTACCCCCCCCCCCCCTTAATAAAAAATGTTCTGGATACGCCACTAGCTTAGTAGACATATAGTGTGTGGTGAATTGAGGAATGATGAAGAAGACAGAATGACGAATAGATCGTCGATGAACTTTAAAACTAAAAAGAAGGATAGGTGAGTCAATTTTACCGGATAGGATGTTTTTTAAAAACTGGAGATTTAGTGAATGTGTAAATTATTATATATTTAATTAATATGTGTATACTTTTTCATTGTTTTAAAAATTCTCATGGTTTTGTTTTTGTAATCTGATTGTTATAGAAGTATAAACTGAATTAGTTCAATGATAGGGTGTTTGTTTGTACTTGGTGTATATACATTTTTTTATGTTACTTATTCAAAAATAATTTAACTTAGTACTATATAATCAAATAAATAAAATGTATCTCATATGTATTCGTTAACGTTTAAAATTAAAATTAAAATTGTTGTTTTTCTTGGCTGCTATTTTAAATTATTTGAAAACATTCAACCTAGTCACTTAAATCCAACAGAAAAAGTTATCTTATAACTTTAAATTATATATCATTTTATATTTAAAGAGCATATTTTATTGGTTTTACAATAATATTATACTTTCATTTAAAAGTTATATTTATTTATTTTTGTAAAGTAAAAGCACTAGTCCAAAAGTTTCATGTAGGTTTTTATTTGTTCAGAATTTAATATAAGAGGTATTTTAGAGAAGTCGATTTCCCAATAGTACTGCTAGTAATACTACTAGCAATATACTAGTATTACCAAGTTATAGTAATATACTCCTAATAGAAAGAAATAATGGCGGGGAGGGAAGAATTGCAAAAAAAATAGATTTTTTTAGATGAGTTTGTTTTGTTATTTTGGTTAACTAATTTTGTTTGACTTGACTTGAAAGTAATGTAATTATCAACAGTCTTAGTATTTCGTTCAAAGTTAAATTAAAAAAAAAAAAAACTGAAAAATTTACATTTTTTAAAGGTAATTATTTTCATGTCAAGTACTGTTAGAGATTATGGTGTGATTTGTAATGTTTTCACGAGTAATACGATAATGATTAATAATATTAATAAAATTATTAAAATTATTACTTACTCATACACGTCATATCCGCGTAATTAGTTTCTTTCCGTATTAAACTCGTTTTCACGCTACGTATCGCGTCTGTACACAAGATCTAAATGGTGTGGTTACAGCGGAAAAAATGCAGTAGGGACTGTGCTTGATCCCTAAATCATTTCGAACGTACCACGTATCTTTTCATACAATTACTAATTAGTTATGCGCAACGTGTAACCAATATTTATTATGTCAACTCTTCATATAACGCTGTTTCTCGGAATCGTTATAGCTGCGGTCGGTTTACCGTTGAAAAGATGGCATTTTAGTTGATGATAATATAATTGTATGAAATAAAATAAATTATAATTTAAACCAAAAGTGGTTGTATTAATTTTTTACGTGAGCGATTGTTTTGACCAAATAGTTGAATCGTCAGAATTACGCTACAGGGGATGATTTTTTTTTCAAGTGTACGGGAAGTAGAGGGGATCCAGTCCACTAGCACTTTACCCCTTTTTTCACTCGACCCTGGTGGAAACACATGCAGAGTACAACCAGTGGCGGCCGTGTAGTGCATCTACGTTTTAAATTCCTCAGGGAATACGTTGCAGCGTGCCAAGTTCCGGAAAAACCATTTCGCGAGTTCAGCCCACGACGGTTGCGTGACTAAAACGAATTATTTACGATTCGTTAATTATTTTTTTCCATTAAGCTCGCCTAACTCTTCATACATTCGATTCAATTTTGTTCACGCTACGCAGTATTACGCGATATTATACGGTGCTGTGCAGATTAATAATAGTAAGCCGCCCGAATGTTGCAGACGACAGTAACAATACGCAAAACATTACATTGTACTATTATTATTAACATATTATCATAATAATTATTATTATTATCACTAGCCATCGCCATGAAAACCTGCCGGTGTATATCTACTATCACGTCCGGATCTTACCGAAAACTACAAATTCGTCCGCTTTGTACTTCCAATATTGCCGGATACACCACGGTTGTAATGTTAAAATGGGTGTAAAATACTACAATATATTATTATACATAATTTTCTAATAACTGTACGTTATACCCACTAAATATTATGCCAATATTTTCTACTCTTATATATATATATATAGATATATGCATTCATATTACAATTTACTGGTACGTGTACATATGTCACAAATAACCGAATACACGTATTGTATGTTTAGACAGTTATGAACAGTGAGACTGATTTGTGTATCAACACGTGTTTGTGGTATCTCATCAAATAATATTTTATGAATTTAATAAAACTCCGAACGTAATGATTAATTTTTTTTAACCTAACAACTAAGTGTAAGATGTCCAAATAAAATTTGTTTATATGGTCTATAACTACGTCATTCATCATATTTGTATTTTTGATATAAGTGTCATATTAAAGTATGATTTGTTTTTAGTTTTAATAAAAATCTTTTTCTATAAAGTTTGTGAGTTGAAATATAACTCCACTCGGCAATGAAATCAGTAACTCTGATCTGCATTCACTTCACTCCAATTACTCGAACAAAATGTTAACTTTTGAAAAAAAAGAAAATTATTTTCTCAGATCTTTGTTTTTGTAATGACATAAAATGTAAAGATTTAGGTTAACTTTATCTCTTCAATAAGCCTTAAAACAACATTGGTGTCATCAAACGTACAAACGTACATTATTATTGAGTTGTATGTACAAGTTTAATATATTTCTTTTTAAAAGTGTTATTCTTTGTCAGCGAATATTAGTCTTTTTTGTACATGTCAATATAATTTAAATTTGTTATATTTAGTTAATAAATAGTACAAAAATAGTTCTAAATATTATATAATTTTAACGTTAATAATACTTTAACATAATACTACATAATATAATTATAACTATAACTGTAAGTACTTTATAATAGTTTTACTTTTTTTTTTTTTTTACTTTTTAAATTATCTGAAATGATAAGAAAAAAGTATAAAATAACTTTGTACCTGCAAATATACTATTTTTTTTAAAAATTTAGATATTATTTTCATTAATATCGACTACTGTTGATAAGTTTTCTATTTATTTCAATAATTAAGTGTCTAAAGTTTGTTTACAAATCACTTAAACAAGCTTTTGAAATAAAATATTCTAGAGTTCAAATAAAAGATTCACTAGATTATCAACCTTTAATAAAATATAAATTATAGACTTCTTTAATATAAAAATAAAAATTATCAGAAAAAAATATTTTAGGCTTCTGGACTTTAGTTTATGGTCGAAAACTATACTGTCGTAGAACCCACATTAATGAGCCAATGTATTCAATAATTATCATCTGCTTTTTTGTATTTTTCTATAAAAATGTTTTGTATTTTTTTTCCACACGTAGTTTGATAACACTAGTAAATATGTTAAAAACTAATAAATTGTGGCCTTTATTTTATTATTTAAAAATACTTATGTTAAATAACCATTATAATTAATAAAATCATTGGTGAAACCCACCATATATTAATGATGATTTGCAACATATTTAAAAATTAACTATACTATAATATGAATTTACAATATAGCTGTAACATTAATTTCCACAAACTAAAATTGGTATTACTGATACTAATTCATTATAGATTTATTGTAATTTAAATGTTTGATATACTTAGTAATTAAAATTTTTCAGAGCAGTTATCATCACATGACGCTGACATTGATAATTTGACATTAACCATTAATAACTAGAAAAAGAAAACATAAGTTAACAATAATGTTTTAACTGAAAAGTATGATTAATAATGCAAATGAAAAAATGTAATACAATATTAAGGTAAATACATCTACTTATAATTTGCAGATTATTATTATTAAAGTAGATAATGAAGTAGAATCAAAAATCAACATTGTTTTGTGAGCCTACAATAAGTCTACTACTTTACTGTAAAAATGCTACATATTAACTGTTGATTTAATACAAAACCATACGTTTTAAAATGTGTGAGGACATTTTTTAAACTTTCGAAAAGTTTAAAACTAGGATGATATTTTATTAATTGTTCGTTTTATCACTTTTCAATTATTAGGTTAGTAATTAATTCTTCTATTTGATTATCCGATAGTTTATAAATAAAATTTTGTTCTTTAATGATGAAGTTGAATAAATAGAAAGAAAAAAAAAAGAAAAAGGAAGAGTTCATATTAAAAATATTACATCATGTTTACAAATAATATACTTGAAATATATTTTAAAAGTATTTTAACAGTATTTCTCCGACTTACGTGGGTGTTTGTATTGAAAATAAATTAATATATAAATTTTTGTATAGATAAACGAATTTGAAAATTTATCCAAAAATATGCATACATTTCTGTTAAAAAAGATACTTCCTTATATATACTTATTCATCATTCAGTTTTCTTCGTGTTATACAATATTATATGAGACATTACATAGATATTTGAAGGATGATTTGTTTCAGAAATAAAATTGTGAAATAAGTCATTTAATAATTGATGAGTACATGAGATATAGAATTCAAAATTTTAAGTGCATTAAAGGTCGAAATGTATATATTTCAAATTTTTTTTTTAATATTACGATCAACCAATTAATATTAGACCTGTCCATTACAGTAAAATACGAAAATTTAACAAATTTATTTTTATATTTTGTGGTATGAAAACTAAGCTTTCCATAATAATTCTTGATATGATATTACCAATGCACTTTAAATGTATAACTAAATAAATAAATGTAAACTGTAGAGACATAATCCCATTATATTAAGCAGTACAAACAATAGCTAAAAAGTTGTAAAAAGTAAAATCTACAAGTAGATAAGTATATAGGACATTTGATTGTATAATTGTTTTTATACATTTTAAATCAACGAATCACTGATTTAAAAATATTGTCAAATTTGTCAGTTAAATCAGTATATATATTTATAAATAGTTCATATTACTATATAGTAATATAAGTATCTTATCATTTTATAATAACATTTTTGATAGTTGTACTGACACAAATAAAAAAAATAAGTATAACATCTAAACTTTGATTTAATTAATTTCATAACAATAGTCAACATTATCATTATATTTTATGTATGATAAATACATTTTTAATATAAGTCTCGATGTTATGTTTCAAGTCACAATGTTTAATATTTTAAACAAAAATAAATAATTCATCATTTAATCGAAACTCGTATATTTATTCGGAATGTCTCATTTAAAAATGCTGACTAGATTTGTATACTTCAGTCCGACCCTACAAAATGATACAAGCAATTCGGTCGCATTATGATGAAGTTAACTCACCTCAGATTAGTAGCTAATTATTATTTTTTCAACATCCACCGCAACCACCGCAGCCTCCACAACCGCAACCGCATTTACATTTACATTCACAACCACATGCTTTAGACGCCGACGATTGTATGTACATCATTAGTATCTAAAAAAAAAAAAAATAATGGACTGGAAACTGTTTCATTGGTCTGATATAAATTGCATGCACTTATCTTTGGAATTTAATTCATTGCCAATATATTACATATTATATTTATTGGTAGATATTTGAACTAAAACTCGGGATGGTAAATTCCAGTATATCCTATGGGTACTGAATATTAAGTATTTATTAAGTAATTATTAAGCTAATTTAAGCAATAAGAATTCGAAATATTAATTAAATCCTGTATTGATATCCCTTTAATATGTTGTGGGTAAATACAGACGTACTAACCATAAAGATTTAAAATGAATAGAAAATCGTTAAATGAAAAAAAATAAATAATCTTAATGAATAGATTTAGTAAGTGTATGTACAATATATAATTTTATATAATACTAAAAACAAGTATTTATTTATTTTTAATATTTTTGAAAATTAACTACATTGAGATTTATTTATTTTTTATTTTACTAAACGGTTATATGTAAATACATAACCATTCTGTATTAAACTTTATACAATAAAATTAAATAACTGTCATTATTCATGGAGATGGAAAACTAATTTATAAAAACGTGCAATTCAAAAAAATCTATAATTATCACAGTAAAAAACATTAGCACATGCTGGATAGAAATAAATTTGTTACAAAGGAAGTCAATCATAAATGTATGTTAATTTCAAAACTGGCAAATTCAAATTACTACACGTTTTGTTTCCAATTTCAAGTTAATTAATAAATACATAGACATTTTGAGGTTATTTTACTCAATAAAGTGTTCTTGGAAATTATTAATTTATTCTTTAAAAAATAATAAACTAAAGACATCGTAAGACTTACCATATTATCAGTAAACTGAATATGTAATTATTAAAACATATATTAGTACCATAGTAACGTATGACATTTTTAAAAGCGTTTCGTTGAAAACATAAAGTTACTAAAATTGACAACTAAAATATAAAATTAAACAAACACTATTGACTCGTATTATTATTAAGTATTAAACGCCTAGATGTAAAATGCTATTTTTTTTCAAAAATATCGTATAATAATTCTTATTAAAATATGTCCATATTGCTATTGAATTATTTAGTAAAAGTTGGAATTTTAATTGATTTACAGACAATTAAAATCCGTTTGATCTTTATGCGAGCTAAATTTATATTTTCTATCATCACGAAAAAAAAGGATTTCGATAAAATATGTATAAAAGAGAAAAAAAATACTCAACTAAAGATATGGAATATTCGATTATATTTTTAAATGAAGGATGAAAGAGCTGATAGAAATGCTTCGTTAAAACGTCTATAAACGAATAAAAAGGTAAAAAATAATAGTTGAATGATCCGAAATCGTTGCGTATCGGAAAATTATACTATATAATTCGCAATAGAAACACTGTAGATCACTAAATATAATATATTTCACTGACGATGTGCCGTTCGTCGTTTATCTTTCCATTTCTAAATAATCAAAAATAAAATGTAAGAATTCATCGAATACTATTTTTACGATACGTATAAGACGTTATAATGTACAGACCAGCCGTTTACCCACTGAAAATTAATACATTTTCAATTCCTCCGGGATTGCCGGGTGTTGGTGGCAGATCCAGAACTATTATCTGAACTCGTATTATACGAATATAGTATTGCACACGCACGTGCAACGTATATAGGAATATTATTCACGAGCAACTATTAATTATTTTTCACCATTAGACGTGTATTATTCGTTTTTATTTCATTTTACACATTATTATATACATCACACCGGCCACTCACACGTAATGTCGTCATTGGCCATCACGTAAATGTCTTATATTGTTGCCGACAATTCGACATTATATAAAATTGACTTATTATTGAATAAATTAAAACTGTATAAGTAAAAACCATTAGAGGTAATAGATAAATACCAGAAGCGATCATCTCTGGTCCAAAAACCGAACGGATAGATTTCTATTTCCATTTCCAATTATGATTTATAATTGATCTACTATCTTTTATAATATAATTATATCTACAGAAGTAGTAAGAACTACATTTAAGCAATATGTGATGATTTATAAATAACAGGTTGATAATTTGGTAGGTTAGTCAGGTGTGTAGTTTGATAAAAATTCAAGTCACCCCTGATGATACTGATACTAACCTTACACTTTAAACTGGTAAAAATCTTTTGTATGTAGTTAGTGTGTGCTTATACTATAGTATTGACCATTATTTTAATATGTTTAAAGTTTTAGTTTTCATAAAGTTAAAGTTGTTTTCGTTTAGAGTATACTGAGGTAGTAGATAAAAATAAGTAATAGTATTAAAACGTAGGCATTATGGCAATGAAAGAAAAAAGTTTAAAATATGATTTCGTTTAGTGGTTTTCGAAAGATCCATAAAATATATAACCTACTAACCTTACTACTTTTACGTTTTAAAAGTAATGATAAAATAATGTTTTTAAGTTTTGAAAAATTAAAAAATTAATTAATATTATTAACAATGTAGTAAGCTCCTTCAGTCCTTTTAGCAAGTTTAGAGTTCATACATACTTAGATTATTTCAACATATTAATGTACTTTTGTATATTTATAAGGTGTACATGTATATAGGATATGCATTGCTCCTTATGATAAGTTGATTAAAGGGTAAAAATAAAAAACATAATATGTGTTTTCGATTTTTGCTGTATAATAATTTTCACATAAATAATTAAGCACCACGTGATATTGTCTTGATAAGTACATTATTTATAATATCGCGTGAACATACATTATTGCTAAAACTTGTATAAATACGAGTAAAACACATAATATTTATCAGAAGACAGGCATAGTGATAGACTCGCTACTCACCCTTCGTAAGACTATTGCTCATAGTGGACTTTGTTACAGCCACATCACCGCGAGTACGTATTCATTGCCAGTAATAGTAAATTTTACATACCTTCTTTTATCATCTCAACAAACATGTCAAATTTATGTCAAACATGCTATGTCATTTAAATTATTATTTTAAGTACATGTGACGAGCACAATATACACACAGCAATAGCTACAACAGTTATCGGTTATAAAATACGATAAAAGACGGTTAAAAGTTAAAAAGCTCTAAATGCTGACTTTAATTACATCGTCAAAAATTTAATTCGATATAAAAAAAAAATGATGTCCATCCCTAGTTTCCAGTTTCAGATCCGAACGGATATAAATGTGGTCATGTACACTTTCACCGTTATATTACGTACGAAATGACAACTAAATAACAATAAAGTGAATAAGTAAAGTAATAGTTTAAAAAATAAAGATGTTAAATTAATTAATCAATAAATTAAAGCTCCGAGTGAAGTAAACAGATGGTTAGGTCAAGTATTAAATGTTATGAAAATAAATGTTTGTGTGTTCAACCCACTGGATGTATTCCGATACTATTGCAGTGGCCATTTTTTCCGTTCGTTTCGGTTCCAGGTGACTAATAGTATTTGTTGATTCCGATAATTAATCTCATGTTAGTTCCATAGGATGGTAACTGCTTTCGCACAACATGTGCCAATGCCAAAAAATAATAATGAAATGGCAAGAAAAAAAATTATAATTATTACATTTTATTCGATTTCTTAGTGTTCCATTAGTAATGAGATGGAAGTCAAATGAAGTGATGGAAAAAAAATTGTTATCGTGCGTTACGCGGGAAATGTAAAAAAAAAAAGTTGAACAAAGTAATTTAAACGCTAGTGCCCATCAAT